CAGCACTAGTGTAGAAATGGGATATTCATAGGCAAACCCACACAGCAAGTGACACCATATGTGATGCTGAAACGTACTGTTAGCTGCTAATAAGTGTGTCTAATACGGGTTGAAGCTGATGGGTCCACTAGCCGGATTCTAGGCATGCTATCTAAAAGAAACGATTAAGCCTTTTATGGATTAAATGAGCAAACACAATAGAGGCCACCTGCCAAACTGCTGGCCATACGAAAAGCCAGCGGAAAAATTATCTCTGAGGAAAGCAGGGAGGCTTTCCCAGGAATTTGAATATAAACACAGGACTGAGATGTTGAGTGGTTTCAGAAGTAGAAAGCGGTGAGGACACAGGGCCTGAAGGGAAGCTAAAAGATAGAAAGTGAACTCTGGTTTTGGGCAGACAGCTGGATGAGATGGGTGGACTGGAACATTACAGAATAAAATAGTTTGGTTTTTTTTTCCTGTTTTATTGTAGAAAAGGGTCTTTAAGCACGTTGTAAGTAAACTGGAATGCACTGAAGAAATACCTAGCACGTATCTTCATTTTCTACTTGTAAATGAAAGAAGCCGTGATTCCCTGTGCTTTCCACTCATTGCTTAAATCATGCAGGTGATTTCTAAGGGAGATCCTGAAGCCCAGGAGAAAAAAAGCCCTTTGAGTCAAGATGTAATTGTGTTCAAGAAACTCTTATGTCAGGTGGAAGAATTACTTGCAAAACTCAAATATTGACTAATACATTTAAAATTGAAACTGAGGCTGAACTTGCCAAAATAAATGAAAATAGCAGCCCGAAGCACCCCAAGAAGTCATGAAAGGTGACCTTTCATACAAGAGAAGGGCTCTGACGCAAAGACTTTGTTGGGTACAACAAGCCAGAGCATATTGCTCTCCCAGTTTCAAATGTCAAAGTGGACTGGCAATTGGTAAGGACATAGCAGATTTTTGGAGGAAATTTATGCCAGGCAAACTTTGGTGAATCTGGAGTTTGCTAACAACAATGACTTTCAGTGGGATTTACAGGACTGACAAAGCAGCCTCAGAAAGAAATTAAAAGGACAACATCGGAGAAAGGATTGGGAAATGAACCACCTAGAGAATGCAGATGAAATGGAACATTGCCGTATGTTCCTAGGCTTTTTTTTAGTCCGTGGAAAGCAGGAGGAGAAAGGTCAGATGATCCTAGCTCATGGGATACAAAACAACACTTCCTCTGAAGGGAAAATTCAAAGCTCATTTCTCTGAAACAATAAGGCTCATTTGTCCCAGATGGATGGATGGGGAGGTGGGGGAGAGAAGGGCATTTCCCACGTCCAACCGAAATGGTCCAGCTCTGCTGATACTGCAGAATTTACCCAAGAAGGATTTAGCTACAACTAACACAAGCCCTCTCACTGGCAGTTTGGAAGCAGCCATCCATCAGAGTGGGCTGAAATACAGTTAAGAATTAATAAAAACACGACAACTCCAAATATCAACAAGGACTTTTAGGATGAATTAGCAAAGGACATGGCTGTTTGCCTTGACCTGAGACTTGCAGAATTAGATCAAGAAAATAATGCCACGGATCCTCTCATAAATTTGGAGTGCGGATTTTTCGCTGCGGCAGTAGTGTACAAGAAAGGAAAATACCTCCTGTGAGGAAGCTGGAAGCTGCTGTTCATCTGCCTGGTACGTACAGCTTGCTGTCTAAAAAGTGTCAAGGAAAGGGGGAGGGGACAGTAATCCTGATTTATCTACTTTATGAAAGCCTGGAAACAAAATGTTGGTTTGCAGTATGAAACAAGAAATTGAAATTTTCAGCAAAGCAAACTTTATTGGTAACCCTCGCCGCCCCTGTCCCCAAGCCTCGCAGCTCTTTTAAGGGAACTATGGGAGATCACAGGGGGGGCTCTCTTAGACAGCACTCGTACTATTGCAAGAGAAGAACTTGAGGCTTCAGTTTCAGATGGCAGGGTGAGATCACCCAAACTTTGCCCTCAGCCTCACCCGCGAGCCAATTTGTTGCAAGAACCAGCATGTGTGAGGAAAGCTTTTGAGATGAGTGGGTGCAAATCAAGGTCCTAAGAACATCTGTTCTTTTGTTGTTGTGCTGGGTACCAGTGACATCCCACCCTCAAAGCACAAGCCTTCACCACCACCGGCATCTCCAACAACGGCTTTTGAAAATACTCTCCGAACTGACCTTAGGCAGTCTGAAAAAACACTAGTTTTTGTATATAATTTAAAAGTACATTTCTGGGGTTTGTTAACAGAATATGTAACTTAAAAAAACAGGTTAAAGTTAAGGCAATTCAGTATCTGTAGCTCTTTGTAGATACCTTCAAGAAAAGTGTTTTGTCCTGGGTGCCTTTCACGTAGCAATTGTGGCTGTATTCATACAGCTATTAGAAACTGAAAGTATCAAAGCACCAAAAATAGTGATGGAAGATGCCAATGAGTAAATAGTTAGGGACACAGCTCCTGGACAAGCGTGACCACAAGTAAATCTTAGATTTGTTGTTTTCTTTTATACCTTCTGAGATGGTGATTTGCCCTGCACAGCAGAACAGATCTTGGCCTTTCTTTTTCACTTACTAGAGGATTTGCAGAGCAGGAAAAGGGGATTACAATTCCTCTCAGCAGAAAGTAATCCTTTTAAGTTAGGTATGTCAGCATTCATTGAGAAGTGTGGGAAAGTGCGTGGTACTTGAAATGCTTGACAGGTCTCAGAGAAACGTGGTGGCAGGAAGACGGAAGCAAAGTCCCCAGTCATGATTACAATGGCTCCCAAATTAGAGACTGTTGGAGGGAGCAGTGAAAACAGAGCTCAGGAGCAAGGACTGATTTTAATGTTTATCCAGCTCCGTAAATTCACAACTTTAAAGTCCAGAATTATAACCTAGAGTGGTATTTGTTAATTTGAAATGAATAGCAAATAAATTTTGCATTTACAAGGCCACTTCAGTGAGACGGTGGTCCTATCCTGTAATTTTGCTGTGCATCAGCATGTTAGCGAGCTGGTCCACACAAACCGATGGATCTGCTATACCTGATACATATTCTGAGCAGCTCATAATTCCTTCAGGACACATTTGTTCTGCCTGGGAAGTTATAGTTTGACTACAATGGTCACACCGAGCCCAAGACAGAACTTCTTGTTGTGAGTTTCATTGTATAGTTTAGGAGTCTGAAGACCTGGACTGAGACATTACCAGCAACGCTCTCATGGGATGATCAGCAAGGTCAGAAACTATTCTGGACGCAGTCGTTGCAAAATAATTCAAGCTTAATATATAAGGCTAAAGTTGAAGAGTATCTGGAATCCAGCTGAACCTCATCTGAGCAGCTGATGAATCCTACAGACAAGAAAATAAGGCAAAAGCTATTGGGGGTTAGAAAAACAAACTTTGAAGTAATATGAAAAGAGGTAAAGAAAGAGGTAAATAAAAGAGGGCAGGAATTCAGCAATGGAAAATCCATACTGAGAAGTACTTGAGGTACAGCTGTAGACAAATTAAACTAATGAAATTTTAAAAACCCCTGCTTTTAACAGAGCAACAGAAAGAGCAATAGCTGACATGACAGGCTTGAAAACGCTGGGAAGGCGAATGATTTTTAAGGTACAAAATGAAGTGGAAAGTTATCAGAAAAAAGAGAAACAAAGCAACAAAATGCATAAAATAGCACAAGATATTATCAGGCGGTTCATAATGTATTTGTAACAGCATAATAGCTGCACATCTCTATTGTAACGGAATGCAATTTCACTCACTCTAATTTAGCACAGGACAGTCAACACCGTCATTTCAAATCCGTTGTTCGCAATCCAAGATAGCATCTTGACAGCTTTTAGCAAACAAAGCGCTTCATAACGCAGATTGTTGGGGACAAGTGAAAGCACCCAGCCCAGGGTCAGCAGTGGAACACACAAAATACATGTCTTTCAGGAATGTATTGCACAAGAGATCTTTATTCTTCCATATTTTAAGAAGTCTGCATTTCAATTTTGCTGATATTATGTATAATTCCCGCATTTTGTCTTCTACTGAATGCTGTCCTCCCCACCTCATTCTCAAAGCTTTTTATTTCTGCAGCCTGAGTGACAACCGCAGGTGCCTCTATAGCGGATATTGCAATGCAAACCAGTATTTAAATAGCCTGCTTTGGCTAAATGGTTCTTGGTTTGCATGTAACTACTTTCCCAACATTCACTTCTAACAAATACTCTCCAGTGGCTGGAATATAAAGGCTTGGAAGTACTTAAACAGGTAGTCCACCATGTGTTATGCTGAGGAACAGAGACCATGGTACACGTAGAGGCTCTTCCTCTACATTTTAGGCTCAGAGAGGGGCAGAAAACAACCATTTCTCATTTCTCCTTCACTTTCCTGCAAGAACGTTACTTTTCTCTGACTTTTATTTGAAGTCAATAGTGACAGTACAGTATTTAAAATACCCAGTCAGGCCTGGGAACTCAACGTCGTCGGCAGACTGCACAAAGAATTTTGGAGCTCTCCCCTAAATTAAAAAATACATATAACATGTAATTCGATGACATCCAGAAAGTACTAAAGTAGTCAGAACAATCTAAATTTGATTTTAGTGTGGCAATTCACAATCAGGTTTGAAGGCAAAGTACAGAGGAACGCAGCCGGTTCATCTGATTTGCTTTTATCAATGCAAAAACTGTAAAGACAGTTATCATAGGCTTATTTCAGGCAAACTATGTGGGCAAGGGAATTTCTTGCTGTCCTGGTCCAAATATCCAGGCTAGAGGGCTTGTAGATGCTCACCCACATTCTGCTAGACAGAAACCTGGGTGTGAAACACGCCCCTAGACCTTATCCTGGCATCCCCTTGTTCAGACCTAGCCATCGAGGGTTCTCCTGTTTTCTTAAGTCCCAGAGACAGAATGGTAAAAGGCACACGTTTATTTTACAGCACTGCAAACACTGAAAGAGCTTTGCTGCTGATCCCGAGGGCTCTTTACTCGTCAGCCGCCTGCAGAGGCCACCCGGTTGAGATGGATGATGAGCAGCTGGCAGCAGCCCCGTCAGAGGAGGCCTGCCCTGCAGTACTGCCAAGGCAGAGGACGGTCCTCAGGCCCGCCGAGGGACAAATGTTCAGAGGCAAGAATCGGGAAAGGGTGGGGAACATTATACAATGTGCCTTAATCACAAGAGTTAATTACAACCACGCTGGAAAGCACACTGTTCTGTTACTGAAGCTGCAGCAGGAAAATACCAACTTCACTGGTTCCTGCCAGACCCGCTTCATATCGCACTGGACAAGTGAAGATTTGCAGTGTCAGCGGGATGGGGAGAAGCTGCGCATGGGCCGGCACCCCTCCACAGCAGCCATCTCTGCTCCAGGGGCTGCTTTTCTCGATGAATTAATGGGTAATCATAAGTTAAAGTGCCTAATGTAGTGCCACCTCCCTCGATTAATAAAGGGATGCACATAATGTAAGTTTTTAATAAAAATTAAACCTCTTAATTGAGGAATACAGGTTATTCAGAGGAAAGTAGACAAGTGGTTTCCACGTCTTTGGGTTCATTTTTATTCCTGCCAGATGAAGAGTGGAAGAACATAGTAAGATAGGAAACTGCTTTGAGGAAAAAATGCTTCAAAAATTGATACAGTCCCGTTTTTCCAATTTGCTTCCTCTAATTTGATTTACTTTCCACCACTAGTGACATTTTGAAATTCGAACTCGTGGCTCGCCGCTGAGAGTGACCAGCTCCGCTTCCCACCACTTTCACCTCCAGGTTTCGCTGTCCCGGTTCTGGGCGGTTGACTGGGGAAGCCGGGCAACGCTCACGCGAAGTTTGAAGCTGCATCGCCGCCAGCCTCCAATTTTTTTAGAGTTTTCCCCAAAGCTTACAACTCACACCCGTGCCGCGTCAGTAAATATTTTAAATTATTTGGAGGATAAGGTCCTCCACAGGACCACCAAGGGTCCTCCACAGGACCAAGGCCGCTCCTTGCGGACCACGGGCTGCTGCCGCGGGAGGGGAGAACGGACGACGCCGAGGGC